TGACTGTGGCAATAAGTTTAGGTATATCTTAGACTGTGAGATTGGCTCAGGATAAAGCGAGGTTCAGAGCCGTTGTTCATAGTGTCACTATGATTCATAGTCAACTTAATGCAACATCACAGCAACAATATGATCCTTTTTTTTGGGGGGGGGTCAGTTCTGAATCAACGATATATATCAACAACATCTATCTATTTCTCTATGTATATCTCAAGTGGGAACTCAAAGGTCTGGTGGTTAAGATGTTGCATTGTCAACCCAAAGGTAGGTGATCTGAATCCAACAGCTGCACCCCAAGTGAAAGATGGGCAATATCCTCCTGTGCAATCTGTAGCCTCTGAAAATCTGCTGGAAGGTCAACTATCAGTCAGCTCCAAATCAAACGCAATAACAGAGACAACAACTCATTTCTCTCTCACACTGAAACCAGAGGACAATGTCTGTGACAAGATCAGAAAAAGGAACAAGCTTATAGTGTTGTCAGGTGCCCATCCTGATTCAGCAAATGAATGCATTCTTCCAAAGAATGATTTCAAGAAGAAAGACAGATGATCTTGTCCTCTCCAATACTTTGTGTCATAGAAAAAAGAATTTCGTTAGTATCATAAAGCTGAAACAGATGGGAAAACCCAGTTCTGAGATCTGCATATAACAACACTCCTTTTTACTTTCGCTTTAAATATTACTGCTGTATTTCATATTTTCCCCCAAAGAATTTTAAAAAAAAAATGTTTTTGTTCACATATTGGAAAAAAAAAATAAAATTAAAAGCAACAGATCTAGTTTACTTCTCTTTAAAACACACAATTACCAGCTATTATATGCCTTGAGAACAAGGACCAGGGTACAATGTCAAGCATATTTCACAAACACACACAAATACATAAACAAAGAATAAATTTCTTAATATTCCTATTCATAAAGCAAAGTCAAAAAGGTAATCAAATGAGTCTCATTTCTATTTTTTCCCTTCAAACTGAATGATTTAATTTTTGAAGTCAGCAAAAACGTCAAGATACCACACCTTATATACTGTACTTATACATCTAAATGGAATACAAAGACAAACCTAAAAGATTTATTGCAGGTTGTAAATATGTCACTGATGCAGAATTACTGGACAGTATACACACAACTGGTGCCAAAAAAGCTTTTAGCTTTGTTGCTGAACTGAATGCTTTACTGCTGAGAAAATGAATTAATGGAGGAATTGAAAAGGTAGGGGAGAAACTTTCCAGTCTTTGCTAGTAAATCAACTAGAATACACTTTAAAGAATTGTGTAAGAGTTTTTTAAAAAGAAAAAAGGTAGTCCTGGAGATGAACAAGATTTCAAAAATTTATAGGAAAAATAATACAGAAGTTATAAATAATTATTAGAACATTTTCCCACCCAAAGATTTATGTGATATATAGACCACCAAATTCTCTAACAGAGGTAAGAAAGAAAATCCAAAGACATGATGAGATATGGCCCATTTTCAAAATGTCAACACTAAATCTATTCTCCAAGACTCATGTAACTAAACTATGACTTAAACTTCAAGAATACTACAAACCTATCAGTAGATAGTTTCCCATGTACAGCAAATACACATGTAAAAGAAAAGCATTAACTGAAATCTTACCAATTCCTGCTTTACTGGATGTTCCTTAGGATTAACTCCCTGGGTTGCCAAATAAACTAGAAGAGAAAGATTTCACTAAATGAACAGGTGTATATATTATTTAAAAATATTGCATCTTAAGAAATTCTAACTATTCATTAAAAAGGCAAAATCACACAAATAATTAAGTCTCAAATTATTCAATCCATATGCAATATGATTCATGAACATCTAGTATTTTATAGGAGAAAACAATTCTAGATGAGACGATTGACACAGTACCTGGGGTAATGAGAGAAGGTGTACTGGAGAATGTGAAACTGGCTCAGGACAGGGCAGAATTCAGAGTTATTGTACATAAGACCCTTATGAGTTGCAGGCAACTCAATGGCACATAACAACAAGTATCTATTAAAACTACCCGAAGTGTATAAACACAGATAGCACTGAGTACAATAAAAACTTTTTGTTTGAAAAAGAAATTATTCGTTTTTTAATGAATTCTAAAGTAATATACTTACCCCAAAACATTGAATTTAACGTGTATGCAGAAAGTAAATCCACTTTTGCTTGTTCAAGTGGGTCCAGCTATTGGGGGGGGAGGGGGTAACAGAATAAAAAAATAAGAGAATACCAACTTTAGTAACATCAGTAACATTTTAAACTTTTACCATGTACAGTGTAAAGAAAGGTCTTTTTTCCTCCCCATTTTCTAGAATCCAGTAACTACCTGATCTTGAAGTAATTTGCAAAAAGAGCAAGTTTTGTTAGTGATTCTGGCCCACAGATTTTCACTTGAGAGGGCCATCTTTGGTTAGATTTTTAAAAAATATTCAAATAATTCAAGAAAAATTCTCAATTCTTTTAATTTGGGGAGTTATGATGTGGGCTTTGTATGTCAAAAGTAATTTATCAATATAAACATTTTACATGATGCATTTATGTATAAAAAGGGAGCTAAAGTGCTTCGGCAATAGGAATGACACAGAAACATAATGAGATTTGTCTGAGACTGTCAAAGTCAATTTATTGTTTTTGTTCACTAGGGTTTCTAGAAACCTTGATAACATCAGTATAATACTTAGAAGGTCAAAGATACAGTCTGTCAAGAAAAATGCTGTAAACACTCCTTTTTTTGAAATCAAGTCAAAATAAAAAATTATAGTTAGGAAGCAATTTCTAAGGTTGAAGTTTTATTTTACTTCCCCTAGAAATTCTTAAATACATATAAAGTGGAAATAAAAGAACAAAGGGCTGCAAACTCAGGTTTATTGCGGCTTTGTTCACAATAGCAAAGAGCTGGAAACAACCCAGGTGCCCATCAACAAACGAATGAACTGAGCAGCCCTGGTATATTCACACAATGGAATACTATGCAGCATTGAAAAACAAGGAACTCATGAAATATTATTCAAAATAGGTAACCCTGGAGGACATTATGCTGAGGGAAAATATCTCAGTCACGAAAGGACTAATACTGCATAGGGCTACTGTTGTAAAATGAGACTGACACTGGGGTTGAGGGAAGACAGAGAAGGAGGAGATCAATGATGTATACTGCATTGAAATAGATGAGGAAGAGAACTATTTAAAAGGGATATATGACTGGGTATTATTGTCATGACAGGAGTCCAGAATGAAGGCTGCATAGTGGCTTGGACTTGGGGGGAAGGATTGCATAATAATGAAAGTTTTTCTTTTTCTTTTCAAGAAGAGTGAATTAGGAGGAGGGGGGAGGCAGGGAGAAAAGTGCAACAATGAATGAACTGAAACCCTAAGTCTCTGTAAACATTAATTAAAATTCATTTTCAAAGAAAAGCACAAAGGACTTTTATCACTAATCTATTTCTTCTCTATGTTACCAGTTATACTTTTAGTAATTACAATTTTAATATACCTTCTGCAGCAACTCATTTCTAGAAACAGACATCATGGTCTTCAACATTTCATCCACCGAACTAATAGAATTCTCAAATGCTGATAAATACTCATGAATTTCTACTGGATAGTCTTCATTCATTTCTTTGCTTGTCATTATGAGCAACTAAAAAATAAAACAGAATCTTAGAATTCTTATTAGAGGATTTTTCTTTAGCTTACAAAAAAAAATAAATGGAGAATCATATTCTTTTTTTAAAGAAAACATCATCTTTATTTTAGAAATTTTGCTACTACTCAAGTTCTTACATTTGTAATCAATTGCTAGGTTATGTATAGATGGTAAAAATCAACCTTAGGTAATCCTTTAACTCAATATGAAAGATACAAACATTCAAAGGTCCTAACTGAAACTTTCAATCCTTCCCAAAAGGCAATCGAGGCTGCCCCAACTCCATCAAGTAAACGACGCAGGCGATAAACTTCTAAAAAGAGAATCATGAATTCTAAAAGATTAAAACCTGAAGATAATCAAATAAATCTTAGAATTACAGAGCAACTTCATTCAAATGTATCCTCTTCTGAAACTGCTAGTAAAAAGGAAAAATATGAAAAGGAAAAGAATCCGTCTAAAACCACTACTGCGTCACATATTAAATCCTCAGTGTTTTTCAAGTACTAAAATATGAAATATTAACACTTAACACTCAAAATCCTGTATTGTAAAACCTTTCTATTGAAATTGAAAAGCAAACTGAAGCACTGTAAAGTTCTAATGCTTGCTGGAGAAACATCTTCTGTTAAGACTTATTTTGAGTCTATTAAAATCTGGAAATTTCAAGTATGAAATATTTCATGATTATCTATCGCTAGAATAATCTCTCTCAGAAGAAGCCCCGGTGGCCTCATGGTATGAAACTGTATCGCAGTCCTACGGGCATGCAGTCTGAACCCAGCAGTTGCTGTATGGGGGAAGGATGAGCAATCACCTCCCGTGTGATGAACCTATCTCTGAAATCCTGCTGGATGGTCAGCTCTGAGTCAGTTTCACTTGATGGCACTCAGCAATATGTTTATATGTCTACTCCATTACCTTCTTTTCAAAAATAAGAAAAAATCTGAAAAGTCCATAAAAAAAACCCAAAACCATAAAATCCACTAAGAAGAAAAAAGGGAAATCTGGGGAAAATAAAATCTATGATTTTCATTTAGGCTAGTGTATATCGTGATTCATTCTTTCTAAAATTGCATTTATATCATAATAGTCAATATCTATGTGAGAAAAAGCAAAATCTATGTCAACATATAACTTTCGTCCTTTCTCCAGGTTCACAGGATTTCCAGAGGCAAGCTATTGTGGAAGTGGATGCCACTCCTGCTTCCAACCTTGTCTCTGGAAACCCTATGAACCTGGAGAAAGGACAAAAGTTATACAGGAGGTTTCCAGGACTTTCGTTCATAGGGTCGCTATGAGTCACCTGCAACTCGACAGCACTTAACAACAACATATCAACATATGTAATAAAGTTTGTATGCAATGCCAACTTTCAGAGGCAATTCTAAGCTCTACGTACCATCTCTTGCCTCCCAAATACCTACACTGCTAAAAATAGTAAGAATGTGAATAACAACAAAACAATCAGATACACTTCTGTTGCCTGTTCCAACTCAAAATCAAACAGCACAGGCAAACAATGAAGCAGAGAGGCAGGCTCTCTATCCTACTTATCACCTGAAATAAATGAGCACTCTCTGAGGATGACAAATTCCTCATTCACAAAGCATGGAGGCTGTCGAATGCTCTATAAAGTTCTTATATTTTAATGTGGCAACTATGCCATTTAAAAAGTACTATTTCAATATTTAGTCACAATATGAAAACATAGCTTTTGGACAAGTAAATGCCAGTAAAAAACTGGTTTCATTTCCAGAAGCCATCACCCACTGAAGCCTGCCTATGACTACCCGAACTGTAAACTTACTAACCACAGAGTTGTCATACAAACAGCACTCAACATGGGTTCTGATCAAAAAATTCTATCTACAAAGAAAAGAATTGTGGCTTCTTGTTTTGAATAGTTAACTGAACAATCCATTTGCTTCACATTCACCGAAACTGCTCCAAAATGACAGAAGACATATAAAAATAAATTCACAGAAATGCTGGAAATTGAGAAGGGCATATATTCATCAGCACACTTGACCAGTAAAAATGTCTATGTAAGTGAAAGTGCAAATGGGATAAGACTGACAGGAAACAGGACAAAGAAACTGGTAATGTCCTACATACAAAAGACTATGTAAGACATTTGACTGTGTGGATCACAACAGATTGTGGCTGACTCTGAGAAGAATGGGAATCCCAGAACACTTGATTGTGCTTCTGTGAAACCTATACTTGGACCAGGAGGCAGTCATCAGAAAAGAGCAAGGAAAAACTGTAAGGTTCAAAATTGGGAAGGGTGTACACCAAGGATGTGTCTTATCGCCATACCTTTTCAATCTATATGCAGGACAGATCATTCGGGAGGCAAGGGTTTATGAGGAGGAGTGTTAACATCAGGATTGGAAGACCAACGAACAACCTGCATTATGCAATATTGCTTGCTGAAACAGAAGAGGATCTGAAGTGCTTGCTACAGAAGGTCAAGGACTGTAGCCTTCAATATGGACTGAAGCTCAACATCAAGAAAACAAAGATTCTCACCACTGGGCTAACTGGAAGCATCGTGATAGATGAAGAGATGAGACTGTTAACAGCTTCAGTGTGCTTGGCTCCGCAATCAACACTCTTATACCAGCAGCTAGGAAATTAAGACAAATTGCATTGCGAAAGTCTGCTGTCAGAGACTTCTCCAAAGTACTGAAGAGCAACGATGTTAGTCTGGAGACTAAGGTGCACCTGATTCAGGCCATAGTCTTTGCAATTACTTGCTATGCATCAGAAAGCTGGACAATGAGTAGGGATGAGAGAGGGAAAATTGGTTCCTTTGAGCTGTGGAACTGAAGAAGAGTACTGAGTATACCATGTAGGAGAATAAACAGGTTTGTTCTAGAAAGGGTGAAACCAGGCTGCTCCTTAGAGGCAAGGATTCTGAAGCTTTGTCTGACATACTTTGGACATGTTGCAAGGAAAGGAACACCAAGCTTGGGAGGGTGGAGGAGAGGAAGATCCTCAATGAGACGGATTGAGTAGCTGTGTCAGAGAGGTAAGAATGGCACAGAACAGATCTGGGTATAGGGCAATTGTACACAGGGTCATTGTGAGTTGCAAGCAACTCAATAGCACATAACAACAACAACACATAAAAGAGGTTCCTGGAACAATGAGCAACAGCATCAAGATGAAGGGCAGTAAGAATGGGGCCATAAGGACTAAGAACAAGTAGACCAGTCCCCAGAAGTGCGAAACAAAGGCTCAGTATTTGCCAAAGGAATATAGGTGATACGGTCAAATATACTGAAGGTGGCCTATTTTTTTGTTTCTTGATTCACATTTAAACCAAAATATTTGGAAATCTGAATAGAAACAATAATGTACTGAGAAAGGATCAGTTACCAAAAGTGATCTAAAAAAGAAGCTGATACAAAACCATAAAACAATCAGAATAATAGGAACCAATTTAGAAGCCTTTGTCTCTTGCATGAATAGGCTTGCAAACATAGCCAAAATCAACCAACCAGTAGAGAATAAAATTGACAAATGGGACCTTCTAAAAATCAAATCTTTGTGTGCATTCAAAAACTTTTTTTTTCCAAAAACTTTTTCAATAGGGTGAAAAGAAAGCCCACAGATTGGGAAAAAATATTCAGCAATGGCATTTCTGACAAGGGACTCATAAATAAAATGTACAGAATACTGGTAGCTTAGTAGTAAGAAGCTGCATTGCAATCCCAAAGACATGCAGTTTGAATCGACCAGCTGCTCCATCAGAAAAGGAGGCTGTCTGCCTCTGAAAACCTATAGGAGGGTCAGCTATGGGTCAATTCTGACTCAAAGGCACACAACAATAGTGACTTAACCAAAAAAAAAAAAAAAAAGACTGATAACTACAAAATGGGCAGAAAAGATTACCAAGACTTTACCAAGAACAACATTCAAATGGCCAACAAACACATGAAGAAATGCTCAAAATCACTAGCAATAACTAGATGAAATCAGGAAAACAATGAGATATCTGACCCCAGCAGCAATAGCAAAGTTTAACAGGACAGAAAACAATGCTGGTAATAATGGAAAAAGACTGGAACGCTCATGTACTACTGATTGGAGTGTAAAATGGTACAACAACTACGAAGGCAGTTCAGTGTTTCCTATAAAAGATGAAAACAGAAACTCTAATTGACCCAGCTATTCCACTACTGGGAATATAGTCCAAGGAAATCAGAGCTGAGACTGAAATAGATATATGACACCCATGTTTATAGCACAATTATTCACAATAGCAAGAAGATGGCAACAGCCTAAATGCCTATCAACAAATAAATGGACAGAGAAATCGTGGTACATTCACCAAAATGGAATACTATGTAACACTGAAAAACAATGAAGAATTCATAAAACATTAAAATTCCCTAACTTTGTACATGTTGTTGTTGCTGTTATGTGCTGTTGAGTCATCTGGGTCTCACAGTGACCATATATGCAACAATCCTAAACCTTGCTCTATCCTCTGCCAATCTTATCATCTGTGACACATCCACCCCCATTACCCAATGAATCAATCCATTTCGTGCGTCTTCCTCTCTTACACTGTCCCTTCACCCTCCCAAGAATGATGTCCCTCTCCAAGGACTAATCCCTCCTTGCAACATGTCCAAAGTACGTCAGACAAAGCTTCAGAATCCTTGCCTCCAAAGAGCAGCTGGGTTTCACCCTCTCCAAGACCTGTCTGTTCTCATAGCAGTCCATGGTACATTCAAGACTCTTCTCCAAAACCACAGCTCAAAGGCATCAATTCTCCTTCTACTATTTCTAGTCACTGTCCAGCTTTCTGGTGCATAGTAAGTAATTGCAAAGACTACGGCCTGTATCAGGTGCACCTTAGTCTCTAGACTGACATCATTGCTCTTCAGTACTTTGGAGAGGTCTCTGACAGCAGACTTTCCCAATGCAATTCGTCTCTTAATTTCCTGGCTGTTGGTACCAAGAGTGTTGATTGCGGAGCCAAGCA